ATTGGTAAATGTCATACCGTTACCATACCGAAACTTTCGGTATACCAAATTTCGGTATACCGAAAATTCGGTACGGTATGTAACCCATACCGTTTTATACCGAAAATTCAAAAAAAAAAAAATTCTTGGCAATTCCGTATAAAGTATTAGCTTAAGGGGCCTACCGAACATCCAAAAAAACAGATTTTAACAAGTCAAAAGTAGCATATGACATCAATACATAAACCGATACCAAAACTAAAACACAATATTTAATCCAAAGTAGAAAATACTAAAATTATGTGCTAATATCTCAAGTCTCAACACAATCCATAATGAAAATTAGAATATTTATCCAACATAAATCAATGATAACTAATGTTTGTAATAACAAATCTTTGAATCATTGTTGCAACTCCGTATAAATAAGAGATTTTTCTACTTTGGTAATATGATGGTCGTCCGCAGTATAAATATTTTATCAATATACTTTATCATTTGTTTATAAATATAGAATGAGCATAGACCAGATTGTTCATATTACCAGGATGGTTAAGCTTTAGCAAATAATGACGGTCGTCCGCTACTCCGTCCTTCGTCAATGGCGTCTTCGTCACTCATCCGCATCTCCATCGGCAATGCTCAATAGTCCACAGCTCTGTCACTCGTTGAAGAGAAGAGAAGCTGCTTGACTCTACGTTGATTTATTTGGGGAGAATTTGACTTTGCACCCCATGTTTTGGGTGATATTTGAGTTTGCACCCTATTTTCAAAATCATTAATGTATGCACCCCAATTCACTATAAAATTATTTGACTTTGCACCTCACTCCTTCACAATTTTTGGGTCAATGGGGTGCATACATTAATGATTTTAAAAATGGGGTGCAAAGTCAAATATCACCCAAAACATGGGGTGCAAACTCAAATTCTCCCATTTATTTGATTAGGGATTTAGACCTCTACTTGGGAGAACTAGAGAAGGGCCGTAGTATTATAAGATGAGATATTTTAATTTTGGGCCTTGGTATTTTAATAATTTCATTTAATGGGTTTGGCCCTAAAAATTTACAAATTCTATTTCGGTATATCGGTATTTCGATATATACCGTACCATACCGAAAATTAACGGTATTTCGGTATATACCGAAATACCGAAAATTTAAAAAATCCATACCTTTACCGTACCGAAGTGACCCGGTATGGTATCATACCGTACCGAACTTTTCGGTATACCGAAAACTTCGGTAAATTCGATATTTTTCGGTATGGTATGGCCGATATACCGAAATTTCGGTATATTTTCCCACCCCTAGTTACACTCTTGAATTGAAGTGCTGAAAAAAACGATATACAACATGCCATATTCAAAATAGAACTGATTCGGCCGAGATACACATTATATACGAAATCCCAACCGTAAATCGTAAGCAGATTTGAGACGGAGAGTTCAAAAACGTTTGATCTGACAAGTCATCAACTACCGATTCAACATATGAATACATTAGGAACGAATTGTATAAAGGCAAAATCGCATTACCCTGATTCCATCTCATCGACGGATCATATGACAAAAGAAATTCCAGAAATTCAATCGTTTAAGATTGAAAACAAAAGTATGAATACTCTAAATAATTCAATATGAAGGAGTCTCTGATACCAATTGTTGGAATAAATCCATGAATACTTTAATCTTCATATTGAAATTATCTAGAGAATTAACTGAGCGGAAGCGTACCTGACTCCATGGGAGATGACCTTTAGAGATCCGGGAGACGGAGGCTAGGGTTTGCGTCTTCTAGTTGATACACACCATCGGGATTATCTCTCTAACGATGGGATGCAGAAAGACGGAATCACGTGTTCAACTAGGGACCATAACCCTTATTTATAGAGAGTGCTTAACCCTAATCAGCACATCATTGATTAGGTCAAGCCCATGGGTCTCTACACATTTGGGCCCTATACCTTATTAGATAACTTATTAGCCCACTTAAATTAATATCCATAGGACCACTAATTTTTGGGCCTAAATATAAGATAGCACATAACATACAATTAAACCCGATAAATAATATACTGTGAATATTACATGTAGTATAAGTCCAATAATCTAACAGATCTTACTTAGATAAAAAGCTAAGTTTTGTTTCTTTTGTTTTGTTTTCTGCACTTGATATATGCACGTGATGATGGTTATGCTTGATGAAGAGAGTTGTGCTACAACACCTAGTTTAGTTACTGGTCATTTAATTATTTATATTAGATTTGAGATTGTGTAGACAATTAAATCGTTTCAAGTTTTAAATACTTTCATTCTATTTAGGTTGTAGTTTAGCATGTGCATTTGGTTAAGTGAGAATCGAGTGTGGCGGTAACACCTATAATTTTTTTGAAATTCCATTGCGTTATATTTTAAACTTCACTATTTTGGGGAAAATATTTTATTGAGACTAATATTTATAGTAGCTATTTTGATGTAGAATTTGGGGGCGTTACACCTTGCCTCTTTCTTTTCAGACTATGTTGCATTTCGAAGGCCCTCATGATAGGTTTCAATCTATTTGCAATCACCTTTGCTGCTATCTTGTAAATTACAGTACACAAAGCTTGCCGATATTCACAAATCTTTTTCAAAAACTCGTCTCATCTGGGCCAATGATAAAAGTCAGACTCATTTCATCGAGCCCTGAAGATTTATCTAGATGCATGTCAAAGGCTGTTCGTTTCACCTCCTCCACACTAACCCCCCCCCCCCCCCCCCCCCATCAACCCCCTATTTTGTGTTCATTTGAAAACCTCTACTCTACCCCCTTCTAGAGTCCCTTCCATCTTCCCCTACGCCGTGGTAAAAATACCATGAAAGTACCCCGTTTTGGCAATAAAAACGTGATCCATTTCCCATTTTCATTCCAAAGGCCCAACATTCTTAGCGAAATAACTATTGATAAAGATCTTCCCTCCACGGTTGGAGACTGAAAAGGAGATTCATCCATGACATTTTTATTTCTACAAGAGACCGGTGCACTATCCCGTAGAGTTGTACATAGATGAGTTGTTGATTTTTGTTAAAGCAATATGCATCAGCTATAGCAAGGCTGACAAAATGACCGTCCGTACACTAAATCTGCAAAAGTTCACTTGAGAGAATTAGCTCATGATTAAAATCTTTCACTTCCAGGTGAGATCATAATATTTCAAGAGTAAACAGCTGGTATTGATCGAACACTGTTATATTAAATTGATTGAAACGTTAAGTCCGTTCAAAACATGGCTAGCTCCTCTGGTTATTTGTTATGAACCAATGTGGAACTATGGAGAAGAAAGCTCAGAACATGGGGAATACATGACTTCAAAAGGGCACTGCAAATCTGCAATGCTGCAAATTGTACTAAGCAAAGTTATGCTCAAGCCTTAAATCCCTGTACAACTAAAGCGCAAATAACCGTTCTTATATACTTCAAGAATTTGAGTCGATACATCATTAACCTTAACCATGTTTGCTACTGTGGTTTGTACTTTTTTAGCAAATTATATTTTATTTATTGATAGAAAAAGTAGTTACAAGCACTAATAAAAGAAAATTTAAAGGATCTAAAAATAATAAAAGTTCTCAAATAATAAAAGTTATTAGAGCTCGTTAACCATGGTTGCTGCCGTGTCTAAATAGTCCTGACAATCGACTTGTGATGACTCTTGTATTTTTAGAACCAATCAAAGGAAACTCCTCTTCCTCCGGAGGTGCACTTGTGTGCCTAGTTTACTTTTTTACCTGGAATATTGTATGCAATATTTCTGAAAAGTCTACTGCTCCGTTTTTAAATTCGGAACATTTTGAATTTCAATAAAGTGAGGACGCGAGAGATATTACCAAAAGAGCAAATTGAAAGCATCTCTACAACTTCTGGATTTCAAATTGTGCTTTTGTGTCTGTTCGAAAAATATGTTAAAAATTGCATTAAATGGTCTTTTTGGGGCAATTATTTGAGTGGGGTCCACTTCCAATTTAGGTCGGGTCAAAATGGTTTCGGATTGTCATTGTTAAGGGCTACAATTCGATATATGGTACGCTCAAAACGGATAACGAGTGAATGAGAAATTGATTCTCGAAGTTCACTCGTTGAAATGGAAAAACTGGGAAAATGATGGGTTTCCAGTGTGTTTTATAGCACACCGAAAAACTCAAGGGATTTTCACCCCTTATAAAGTGAAGCCTCTTTTAAGGAGTTAAGATTCCTAAAATCCTGAAAACGGAGAAGAAAAACCGTGACTCGTGTGCGCGGACGACCTGCGGACATAAGTGTCATCTGAAAGTCTATCATTCAAAGATACGACTTAATTTTTTGTTCTTCCCGTAATGTTTTATTTTTTCCTATAACTGCTCCGCTTTCTGTTGACTTCCGGACCAGAGAACCTGAGAGTTTCTGTTGGCTTCCGGACAGAACACCTCGGGGTGTTCTGGTGGGGGTATTCTGGTCGTGCACCAGAACTGATCCAAACTGTTACAACAATAAATGTCCAACGTTCTTGTTTTTTAATGATGCGTTAAATGGACAATTTATAGATGATTCAATGCCCAGCGGATTGGTCATTGATGTCCAGCGTTCTGGTCCATTAACACTCCATTTAACACACAACAAATTCTCTTATAAATAGCTGGCAGGTGGTTTGTAACAAGGCAACACACAATACATTCCTCACGTATTTTTGAACTCTAAAACACTTCCAGCTACTCTGAAAATTCCTGAGTGTTCCGCCTTTGTTCCCGTTCACCGAAACTATCGTTTATGTGCTCAAACGTTAGTTCATTAGCCACTATATTCTGGGAAACGGTCGTTGCAACGCTTCTAGCACCGTGGGAGGCGACGAATACGTTTTAAGGATATCGTGCGTAGCACAAGCTCTGGCTAAACTCTGTTCCATCTATTTTCTGGTTTTTCTTGAGTTATTTTATTTATTAATTAATTTTTATTAATTAATATTTCTTTGTTTTTCGAAACACATGTCTTCTACTCCGTAATATTTTAGGTAGGATGGGCCATGCTTTTTTCATTCCTTTTACTGTTTTTTATACATGTACTAAGAATATGGTAGAACATTGCTTCAACCTACAACAAGCTGAGCCTGAAGTGAAATGAAATGAACACGTATGCCATTCCACTGGCAACCCACAAACCATAGGGGGGAATAACTGAGGAAGTGTTCAGTGGACAATAATAAAAAATCAGTTCCCAGAAGGCATGTCAGCCGCAGAACTAAGGCGCTTGTTGATAAACACTTAGGGTCCCACCGAGATGGACGGGAACTAGGGGTATAAGAGAATGGAGCACATCTGCTATTAATGGGCGATAACTTGGCTCCGGTTGAACACACAGCACAGCAACTGCAGCAACCTACAAAACGAAACATTAAAGAAAGTGAAAAGAGAAAATACAATTTGTTAAGCTATTCCACATGGGCAAAATGCGAGAACATAAACGCACATATAAAGGTCTGTCTTGGTTTAGTCCTCCTATAAAGTCGGTTATCCTTTAAGAATAGAATTCAAGTCTTAACATCGTATTTGAAGCAATTAGAATATAGCGGGTAAAATCTAAACTCTAGCAGGCAGCTTGAAACAGTGTATGTATGGTTTGTAAGTTGGGTTATCTACTCGGTGAGTACTCAGCGAGTACTCGCTGAGTACTCGCTACTCGATCTCTTACCTTGCAGAGTAGCACCTTAACTCGGTCCGAATTAATTTTCCGAGTTACTCGCCGAGTACTCGGCGAGTTAGTCAACTCGGTGAGTTAGTCAAATTGGCGAGTACTCACCAATTACTCGGCATTAAAAAAAAGACGTGTGCAAACAAAACCTCTGAAATTAATCGCTATTGGTCATCCGTTTGGAGCTTCGACTACTTCTGCTACATCATTTGGAGCTGCAACTGCTACTGCCAGGAGCTCTAACCGCTACTGTGAGGAGCTGCGACTGCTACAGTGATACTGCAAGGAGTTGTGAGTGCTACCGTGCTACGGCGATTGTTAAAAAAATTAAATTTCTTAGTTATTAAGTTTCCCATTGTTAAAAAAATGAAATCAATCTTGTGATTATCCAAACTACTGTAGCCGCAGTTTTTTACTATAGAATTCCAAGCTGCTAAGTTTCTTAGTTATTAAGTTCATTTCATATTAAGCTTTCATTTTTATATTAATTTTTCCTTGGCAGTGTGTATGTTTGGAACTTTAGTCAGAATTGATATCACCTCTTTCGTATATTCCCCTCTCCTTTGTTTAATTTCTTATTATCCCCCCTCCTCTCCTTCATGATAAATACACACTCACAAAATCTTTTAATTTATAGTCATGAACTCTGTTGAGTCTGTGTATAGACTGCTAGATATTGATTTAGATGACCCGAAAGTGGAAGAGGAAGAATAAGTGGGGAATCTGATTACTAAAGATCTATTTGGGGACATGGAGGATGAAGAAGGAAATCACGACCTTGAACCCAACAAAGATTAATATCATACCAACTTATTAGATGATTGATTGCTTTATGACTTTTGCTACTCCATCATTAGGTTAATAGGATTCTATCTTTTTATTCACTTCTATGCATTTAAAGACAATTTAAAGACTATTTAAAGACTATTATATTTCTATAATCTCAGGCACCTATATTATTATATTTAATTAATATATGACCGAGTAATCAGTCACTGAGTAATCCCAAGTAACCGATCCTACTCGCTACTCGGCCCTTGACCGAGTAGCTACTGAGTAATAGTTATATTGGGCTTATTCTGGCCCAGTTGTACTTTGGATATTTTATTCTTTATATATTCATCTGTCAGGACTTCTTGGAAGGTAACCTGTTCCATTATTTCACATGGCATGAGAGGTTAGGTTTACAATATTTTTTCGGCTGCTTCTCCTTTTACTTTTCCGCAGCAGACCACGGCCATGTCTTCGGTCGATAATTCTTCCGTGCAAAACATAGGCGATACTCCTTCACCGCAACATACCGGCGCCAAGTTAACTACACCGAGTATCGAGTTAACTACTTAGCGCTCAAGTTATAAGATGATGTTTGGTTGCTATAGCGTTCAGGGTCAAAAAGGAAGATATTTCAGTGTTCTAATCCCATCAAAGAACTTTGGGACAGAAATAGTTGTTGAGATGGTGAACCTTTTTATTTTCTGTTGCCAACTAACCTGACATAGGTGCTTAATGTCCATTGAATCTCGAATTACAGGATCGACAATGTTGGGAAGCTTTGATCTGTCTGTTAGCTGTGGCATGGCCTGTTTTCCATAAAAACTATAGCATTGAGCTGAAAACTCGACATTTTATTCAAATTGATGCCTAAAAAGGGAGTAATTGAACTTAATATATAGGACCACAGTGCAATTCCTACCCATGTGACAATAGACTGGCACTGAGCTGGTGCCAATTTCTCCACTGGCCTTCTTCCTAGTAGAAGCTCCAAAAGTACAACTCCAAAGCCATACACATCACTTTTATCTGTTAGTATTCCTGGAAAATTCGATCAAAGTGGCATTTAGATCACCAGATTCAAACTTGAACTAGTTCCCTAGCAGAAAAGTAGTTCCAAGTGGAAAGTGGCACTAAAACTATTAGAAAATAGTTTTGGGGAGCCCGGAAAAAGTATTTGTTTGAATAATCTTTCAAATAATAACTTTGTTTGACTCCATAATCAGATAATATATAGGACTAATAACAACACCAATGAAGTAGTATTATAACATGTAGTGCACTCTCATTGTTTAAAAAAACACAGAGATCTCAAACAATACATATAAGTAATAACACTACCTAAACTCCTGTTTAGTAACACTATCTGTAATGTTCTACTCTGAAACACAATAAAAACAAATATCACTACAAGAGTAAATATGAGCAATATTTATAAACCATTATATATAGAAAAATAAAATGTATACCTTAGCTTCAGTTAAAATAAGAAAAAGTTTAGATGTCATACCATCTAATAGGTACTCTGGAGCTACATATCCAACGGTTCCCGAAAGCTTAATATTGCTTTTGTTTTGAGCTTTATGTCTTACAGCAAGACCAAAATCTGAAAGCTGAGAAACATGATTTCAAGAAACTAAAATAAAATAAATGATGATATTTGAAATAGTTTTCAATGCAGGATGATTGGAGACACACCTTGGCATTGAAGTTGGCATCTAGAAGAATATTAGAGGATTTCAGATCTCTATGGATGACTTTTGGTTTGCAGTGTTCATGTAAATATTCTAATCCTCTGTTAAATTATAAAAATAAAAACAGTTTTCAAAATTCCAAAATTAAGCATTCATATGAATTATGAATATGGTAACCTCTACTGTTTAGCAAACTCGAACCTTGCGGTATCAAGGGCAATTTTCATTCTACGATTCCATGTTAATGCTGATCCCTGAGAAGGTCCTAATCCAAAGGCAAATCAAGAAAATTTGATGTAAGGTTGTAGTTTTCATATCGTCATCCCTATTTTTATTTGACTGAGATGTCAAACTGTAGCTACCATGTAGTTGGCTTTCCAGAGATCCATTTGGCATTAATTCGTAAACAAGCAGCCTCGTTTCGGCATGAATGCTATATCCCAACAATGAAATTATATTTGGATGCTGGGTTGCTCTCAATACCTCTATCTCAGTCTGTAATTAAAACAAAAAAGGGACAGACAACCATTACCATTTAGAGTGTATCAAACACATTTAAAAATGAGTCTTTCACATAATATTGCTAAATTTTAACTCAAGGACAAAAAATATGACTGCACGGTCACTATCGTCGCTCTGAAGATATAGTAATGTTCAAAAGTCACTTCATAGTTTCACTATATGCTTAATTTTGGAATTTTGAAAACTGTTTGTATTTTTATATTTTTAGTCTATAGCCGTTGGCTGTTGCATATTACAAGTCATACTTTTGTTCATTAATTTTATCCTAGTCATAAAATTTATAATATTTCAATAAAATAATAATTCATGAAACCTCAAATGTTTGTATTGAATCTTGTCCTCCAACTACCAGCCTCTTCACAGCTACATAAAAGTTATCTTCTACTTTTCCCTTGTACACGGCTCCAAACCCCCCTCCACCTAAGATCTCACTCTCTTGAAAACTGTTTGTGGCTGATTCAAGGACACTGTACTCCCACAAAGCAACATCATGTTGTTTCCAGGAATTTGACTTGGAGGAGTTGTGTTTGCCAATGTATGCCGAAAACAAAGGACCATTCCCATTATCTTCAAAATAGAAAAGCCATTTGAAACAAGAAAATCAGATAGCATATTCATATTTCAATCCCAGTATGTGGGTCAATGTAGAAGTACCTGGACCATGAATGCCATCCTTGTGAGATTTCGGAACTTTCTTTCTATGATAAATCCAGAAGCACCCCACGAGCAATATGCTAGTGCACAGTGCAGAAGCAGCAGCGCACAGTGATATGAGCAATTTCCTATTCGGACCCATATGGTGTTTTTTACTTGAAATATCCTCTGGTTTCAAGAAGCAAGAAGTCAAAGCAGTTACTTTGGTTACAAAAAGGGGGAAATCCCAAAAGAAAGGTTTTAAAAGGTTCAAAAGGTCCAGAAAGTTAACACCAAAGTCTAAGATACAGAAGTTTCACAACCATCTCCAGAAAGGTGAATTGTTTTCTTAGTTATTTTATTTATCGATAATTCAATGTCCAATAAGATTAGGGTATCATTAAAAACAACCTCTCTTAATTCCTTTGGCATTAAATATAACCCATGTGGTCGTTCAAGAGTTTGAAATTTAAATTTTTGAATTTGGAAAATATAATTATTAGGAAAATATCTGTAACCAACCCAGAAAGAAACAGTCCAAATGCATACAAACAGAAACAAGCACAGACATGGAATATCGTGGAGGAACCTGGAGAGAATCTCGCTGGTGATGAATATAGCGGAGGATAAAGTGGAGGGTCGGATCCAGCATCAGCTAAAGCATTGTTCGAGAGATGAAAAATCAAAATGGTTGCACAGAGAAGTAGCAGAATCAGGCGAAGAAGATGCTACATTCCTCTGTTTCTTTGATATTGACTCCCTGAAGTGGGACTATATTCTTCAGGAAGGGAATGCGTAAAAAAGACACATAGCAGAAAATGTCTGTTTGTTTGTGTATTCGGTAAATACCTAACACTTCTCTGAAATTTGAATTCCTTTTCTCGCTGGAAGGCTATTGCTCAGTCGGGTAGGCAGTAGCCTAAAGAAGACAAACCAAGAGCAGGAGATGGGCAGATTTTGTACATTCTTTTCCTGACAATAAAAGTGAGCACTTTGTTAGCTGAGGAGAGCACCAGCATTAATGGACCTTGACAATAACCGCAGATACCGTCTCACCCTGAGACCTGTTTTTCAACGTGATATCCATAAATACTTGGATTTTACAAAATATAATAATATGCTCAAATATAAATTGAAAATAGTGCCATGTTTAGGAAAATGCGTCGCCCTCGAAATGTTTTGGATTAATTTCATAAAAAAAATTGATGTTTATACACACTCTTATACACACTTTAATACACACCTATGTCTGTGAAAGCTTTTTTTGTCTGTGAACATCAATTCACAGACAATGTTTTGCACAAACAAAATATTGTCTGTGAACCGGATTCACAGACAAAAAACTTCACAAACATGGTGTGTATAAGGTGTGTACAAGGGTGTGTACATCAAACATAGTTGTAATTTCATCATTCTCCCTCCGTCCGTTGAACTTTGTCAAATTTTCCTTTTTGGTTGTCCCAAAAAACTTTATCACTTTCATATTAAAATAACTAATTTGTGATTCCGTGCATGTCTTTCTCATCTGCACAAATCTCAACCACATAGTTTTTACTATTCTTATTTTTCATCTCCTTTACCTTTGACAAAGTCCACGGGGACGATTTGAATATGGAGACCAATATTAATACAAACTCATCAAACTTGGAACATACTTTCGTGATCACTTAAATAGCATGCACTTTAATCAAATAAAAGTTTTTTCCTAATTCAAAGAGCATACAGCCATACACTAACCCTTTTGTTTTTGGAGTATTTAATGACATTGTATGTTCATTGACACATGAGAGTGGTGATGTAAATTGATACTCCGTAAGATTTATTTACCATATAAAAAATAATATTAACATATCGTAAAAAGGGGTTTTGTCAAGAATATTAAGTTTGTTGAGGTCTATTCCTCTCAACCCGCAGGCCCAACACGTAACGTGAGGGTTTCGAATGGGTGGAAAGCAAAACAAGCTCACTAAACAACGGGAAGTGGGCTAATAACTGTATTTCATTCATTCTAGCGATTTACAAGCCGAGGGGCCGAATGTACTAAGCTATGCTACGTGATGTTGATGTTATTACAATACTAGAGTGTCAAAGTGCGAATCCTTTACAATAAAATAAATGCGACTATTTATAGTATCCCATGGTGGTTGGGGGGACTGACGTGGCCGGTTGTGGGCGACATGATCCCAACCACCAAATCTCCCGCATTTAATGCGCTTCCCGCCAAGATCTTGGTTTCCTGCCATAGCGTGGGGACGTCCGTCCCCTAAACTGGACTCAGCCCTCTGGTAGCAGCCTGGGCCCTTGAGCGTAGTCTACAAGATGCTCGTCCCCTGGCCCTTAGGCCCTGAAGCTTGGTCCTTCGGGGCTACGTACGTCCCCTGGCCCTTGGGCCCTGGAGCCTGGCTATGCTGGGCTACGCACGTCCCCTGGCCCTTGGGCCCTGAAGCTTGGTCCTACGGGGCTACGTACGTCCCCTGGCCCTTGGGCCCTGAAGCCTGGTTATGCTGGGCTACGTACATCCCCTGGCCCTTGGGCCCTGAAGCTTGGTTATGCTGGGCTACGTACGTCCCTAGGCGTTGATGGGCCGGCCCTGGTTGGCCATTAACCCAACACAAGTCCCCCACTCCTGATGTTTAGAGCGTGCGCGGGACATAAAGAAGTAAGATAACTTCCGTCGTACCGCCTCGAGCTGTCACTTCCTTTTCCTCTAGGTGACGGTTGCTTCCCGCCGTTGTTCGCAGGGCTCTAGGTGCCAGCTATCAGGTCGGTTCAACTTCCGATGCAAAAGTAATCATTTTGTACCAGCCCGTCTCTACGCGACACGCGTCCTTGGACACGCTCCCTGCCACACGTCGCCCGCAGGTTGGCCACTGATCCGGCGCCTCCCCTTATAAATACCGGGAATATGGGAAGGGTTAGAGCTTTTCATCCTTTGCCTCCTCTTGCCTTCCCAGTGCCGGTGTTCATCCTTCTCCCAAGTTTTAGCAAGGTAATTCTTCAATCCCAACCTCTTCCTTTCTTTTCGTAAACCTCCCCATGGCCTGCTCCATGGTGATTTCTTCCGATTCGGAAACTGGCTCTAGCTCTTCTACCGGCTCTTCAACCGGTTCATCTTCGACAACAGAACTCAGATCCCGTTCCCCGGCGGAAGCAAGCGGTTCTGGTCGTTCCAGCGCTTCTTCGATGGCGGTTCCTGATGTAGTAGCTGATGTCGTGATCCCGGACGTAGGAGAACATGTTTATATGGTCGTCGATCCTGAGAACGCCGTTGCGATGATGGCGCAACCTGCCGCGGCGGTGGAGCATTCGGCCGATCATGATTCGGGTGACGAGGCCGAGGAAGGGGACGACCTCCGGATATACAAGCTCGGCGTCCCCATGGATCAGCACAGGCACATAGTGCTTATTCCCAATGTTGTCGTGATTGAACAGGTCTTCTCTAAAAGAGCCCTGAGGGAACTACAAATTATTCTCCCCCGCCTTCTTACTATAGCCTCCGAGGTGCGGATAACCTCCTCATGAGACGTCCGGGCATGGTGATGGTGCACATGGATTCTGTAAAGGCCGGACTGCGCTTCCCGCTCCACCCGTTTTATCTTGATTTCTTCGAGTTTTATAGTGTTGTTCCGGCCCAATTCATGCCGAACTCCTACCGTTTGATCTATGTCTTCCTCGTTCTTTGCAAATCGCTAGGGCTCACCTTTAAACTGGAGCTTTTTCATTATTTTTTCCAAGTCACTCCCCAAAATGCCGATGGGTTTCTGAGTGTGGCCGCTCGTCCCAAAAGAAAGTTGTTCGAGGGGGCTCCCACCTCTATCCATGATTGGAAAAATCGCTTTTTCTTCATTCACTATGCGGACAAGCGGCTTCCTGTGAGATGGAATGGATACCCTCTGAAGGTTCAGGCGCCGGAGCTAACCCCGGCGTTGCGGGATGCCGTGGATAAGCTGAAGCTGGGCGGCGTTAGAAAGCTGAAGGACCTTCTGACCATCGAGGCACTCTCTGACGCAGGGATAGGTACCGCCCGTGATCCCTGGACTGGCATTCTCTCATATTCATCTTGTGGGCCCGGGCGGTCCATTCCCTGAGGTGAGTGCCTTTGTGATTCGCACCGCCCGGTACTAACGTTACTTCTTTGTTTCAGGTCCTCCCCCTACTCAAGAGAAAATGGATAGTGCAGCTAAGTCGGCTTGTCGTGAGGCAAAAGCCAACAAGGAACGGGCGGCGTTGGCTAAGGCTCGTGCGGCCGCCCAATCCTATGGGGCCACTTCGTCTACCGCGTCCCAGGCTAGTCAGTGTATTGCTGAAGCGGAGCGGCTTCTGGTCGCTGAGGTGACTGGGCAAACTTCTGAGGCCCAACATCCTCAAGATAACGGGGTCCTGAACGTGGATCCGGTCGGCGTTGGTGTCCCCGCCGGTGGGGAAAGGACAAGGGGAAGAAGCAGAAGAGGCCGCGCCTTGAGTCCTCTGTTCCTAAGCCCATGAACGTCGTGGTGCCTTCTGTCGTTCGTCTGATCTCTGAGATTTGGAAGGACATGGCCCTTCAGGCCGGGCTGGAGTTGTCAGGTCATTCTTCGGGCGACTCTGTTGATAATGCTCTCCTCTTGAACCTTGAGGTATGTTCCCCACATTTCCCCCCTGTCATTTTTGAAACTGCCCTTCGTCCCCATCTAACCCACTTTTCTTCTTTGTAGGTCAGGTTGAGCTTGTTGCAGGCGAGGGCCGCTCGGGAGAAGGATCTCGCCGAGCTCAAGAGAAAAGCCTATGCGGCTTCCAAGAGAGAGCAGGAGGTCGTGCTGCTGCGGGAGGCTGCTCAGGCGGAGGTGAAGAAGGCGCAGGTTTCCCTGGCTCAGGCTCAACAAGAGCTCCAGGCCGTTCGGGCTCAGGGCGAGCATGAAAAACAGTGCCTGCTTGCCAAGGTGGCCCTGGCTGAGAAGCATGGGATTTCCTTTGTTTTTGCCGCAGATCCTACCCCACGTCCTGAAGGCGGAGATCCCCCCAGCGACGTTTTGACTCTGGCCATCAATGTGGAGGAGTTTAAGAAGACTAACCAGTTCCACCAGGCCGCTTATGAGTATTGTCGGGGAGCTGTTGGGGAGGTTTTCAAGGCCGAGCTGCAGTCGGTGTCGGAGAAGGGTCGCTTGGTTCATGGGGTGCGGCTTTTGGAGAAGACCGCACTTGGTGGTGAATGGCTTGCAGAGCTTGCTGACGATGCCTTTGCCAAAGGGTACTTTGAAGGTGTCAAGGCCCTTAGGGGTATGCTCCCTCTGGCCGGCTGTCCCCCCTTCAACGTGGAAGATTATACGGATGGGGCCGAGCTTCGGTGAGTCATGGGAAAACTCGGCCGAGATGAGCAGCGCACCGCGGCCGTTCAGAGGGGTGAAATCCCTGATCCCCCACTACCGAGCTTCCCTTTGTGGAATCAGAAGAACCGCCGGCCTCCCTATGCTCCCCTCCCCATGGCTTCTTTGCATGATTTGTTAGTTCCCCCTCTGCTCAGTTGTATATTTCGGCCGGTAGAGCTGAAGAATAAAGCTTCCTTTTGCACTTTATGACTTGCGTTATGTTTACTCATTCATAATTCCCTCTGTCCCCCCCCCCCCCCCCTTCTTCTTTTTTTTACGAGGGACGGGTTCTCCTTCTTTTTATCATGGACTCTTTTTCCTACTTTTCTGATGAGGAACGGCCCCTACTCCTTTCGCTCGTGGGCTCTTTTTCCTTCTTTTCTGACGAGGAACGGCCCCTACTCCTTTCGCTCATGGGCTCTTTTCCCCTTCTTCTGGCAAGGAACGGCCCCTGCTCCTTTCGCTTGTGGGTTCTTTTCCTCTTCTTCTGACGAGGAACGGCCCCTACTCCTTTCGCTCATGGGCTCTTTTCCTCTTCTTCTGACGAGGAACGGCCCCTGCTTCTTGCTCGTGGGCTCTTTTCCTCTTCTTCTCTGATGAGGAATGGCCCCTACTCCTTGCGCTCATGGGCTCTTTTCCTCTTCTTCTGATGAGGAACGGCCCCTGGTTCTTGCTCGTGGCCTCTTTTCCTCTTCTTCTGACGAGGAACGGTACCTGCTCCTTTCGCTTGTGGGCT